AGACATATCACAAAACTTACAAGTAGCCACAAAAATAACATACTCACTAATACTGTTGATATATATAGTCTCTTGTTTTTCATGATACATTCATATATATTCTCAGTTTTTACTAAGAACAACCATGGCTGTTGCAGGATATTTTCTTCTGTTTAACAGTCTAGGAAGCATTGAGAGTAAGAGATATTCACATAGGCACAACACATTTATGATTTTATAATACACTCAGTATCTTACAGGATAAAAGGGAAGTGTTCTTCCGCTACCTGCATATGGAAGACTTTTAAAGCATATATGTCTTTAAGAAAAGAATTGTTTTGGGATAGTCCCATCTGATGGGAAAATGATTTTTTTATAGTAGAAGAATCTTTGAGATAGATACTTCAGAACTCTATTACTTTCGTTACTAAACCAATAAAAATCACATATTTTTAATTGTATGTGTTTTTAGTTTTTATGGGTACATAGTAGGTATATACCTTTAGGAGGTACATGAGATATTTTGATAAAGGAATTCAATGTATAATAATCACATCAGGGTAAATGAAGCATCAGTCACCTCAAGCATTTATCCTTCCTTCATGTTTCAATCAATTTTTAATGTACAATGAATTATTGTTGACTGAAAATTATCTTTGTTCATTAAAACATTGTATTTAATTGCAGCCAGTCCAAGTAACTAGTTTTCTTATAATTGTCAGAACTGTTCATGTTCTAAGATAGCCTCATGTGAAAATGAATTGCATAAAGTAATTACTAATCAAACTACATTATAATGAACTTTAAGAAACTGGCTTCAGCCAGGCACAGTGTCTTACATCTGTAATCCCAGCACTGTGGGGGGCCAAGGCAGGTGGATCACTTGAGGTCAGTAGTTCGAGACCAACCTGGCCAACATGATGAAACCCCATCTCCCCTAAAAATATAAAAATTAGCCAGGCATGGTGGCACGTGCCTGTAATCCCAACTACTCAGTAGCCTGAGGCAGGAGAATTTCTTGAATCTGGGAGGTGGAGGTTGCAGTGAGCCAAGATCGTGCCATTGCACTCTGCACTCTAGCCTGGATATCAGAGTGAGACTACATCTCAAAAAAAAAAAAAAAAAAAACTAGTGTTTTTTTTCCTGCCAGAATTATGGCATTGAATACTGATATAACATCACATAGGGCATGGCAGTATTTTTAATTGTTTGATCTTTTTTCTATTTATGCCTTTAAATTTGCCAAAAATTATGAGAACTTTCAATATTTTAACTGGTCTTTATACTATTTTAAGAACATACTGACTCATGGCCGAGTGCAGTGGATCACGACTGTAATCCCAGTGCTATAGAGGCCAAGGCAAGCAGATCACCTGAGGTCAGGAGTTAGAGACCAGCCTGGCCAACATGGTCAAATCCCATCTCTACAAAAAATACAGAAATTAGCCAGGTGTGGTGATGGGTGCCTGTAATCCCAGCTGCTGGGGAGGTTCAGGCAGGAGAAATCACTTGAACTCGGGAGGCAGAGGTTGCAGTGAGCCAAGATCATTCCACTGCATTCCAGCCTGGGTAACAGAGTGAGACTCCATCTCAAAAAAGAAAAATAAAAAAAGAACATATTGACTCCTAATGGTGTTTTCAAGATGAAGGTGGAAAGGATGGTACCTTTATGATGAGGAAGAAACATCTGACATCATCTTAGTTTTTAAACTAATATGATATGTGTATTAGTAGAACAATTATATTCACTGTTGAATTTCTGTATTTATATGTGTTTGTACAAATTGTTAGGAAGCATAGCTTGTTAGAACGTATGTTCAACAAATAGAATGCTTGTTTGGGCCCACTTAGGACTAATAATAGCTTGAATTTAAATATTGGTTATGATATCTTCACAGATAGCACAGGCAAGTTACTTATCATTAAAATAATTTATGTTTTGTTGTTATTTGTTAACATTGAATTATAGTCAGTTTGAAACTAGCATGTATCACTGTGAAAATAAATGCTGGTCTCTGTTTCAAGGAGTTTTTAAAAATCAAAGCAGAGGATCATTTACAAAGCAGATAGTGAATTGAATGAAAAATCAGACAATGGGGCAGAAAAATTTTTAAGAGGTACTTCCCTTCCTTTGGTTTAGTACCTAGGTAGCTTGAAGATACTTTTGAGATTATTCTTTACAAATATATTTTTCCTCCATTTAGTAGTATTTCATTCAACAAAAATTTATTGACCTGTCTGTGCCAAACATTAAAGGAAAAGAATAAAAAGGGCCAGGTGTGGTGGCTCACACCTGTAATCCAAGCACTTTGGAGGCCAAGGAGGGTGGATCACCTGAGTTCAGGAGTTCATGACCAGCCTGACCAACATGGTGAAACCCTGTCTTATTTAAAAAAAAGAAAAAAAAAAAAAGGGAAAAGAGTAAAAAGAGGATAAATGCTTTACTAAATACAGGCAAAAATATTTTCAGTAAGCATACATTTATTGTGCACATGCTTAGTGCCAGGTGACGTAGCACTCAGTGCTGGAGATGTAAATAAGAATACCCTAGTACCTGCTTTCATGGAGGTCTCAGTCCGTTTGACAAAACAAACTAAAAGTTACAGTATATTATCAAATAAGTGTTGTAATAAAAGTAAACGCTAAGCATTAAGGAAACTTACAGGAGAAAACACGATAGGGAAATCTAAGGGAAGCTTCTCAGAGAATCTTGATGGATTTATAGAATCTTGATGGATTAATAGAAGTTAGTAAGGCAAAAAAGTACATTTTCAAGTTGATGGAGTAATGTTGCAAACTTTCAGAGTGAGGGAATTTGTGGATGAATGACTTATTAAATAGAGCTGGAACAGTTGAAAAGAAATGGATGAAGCTGCATAGATAAGCAAAAGACAGAGCGTTCTGAGAATTTTGAGTTTTTAATCTGTAAGCAGGGAGAGCCGTTAAAGGATTTATAGCAAGGAAGCAACATGATGAAATGTACATTTTAGGGAGATCACTCTGGATGCTATTGGAAAGCTAAAAAAAAATTTTCAGTTACACCTGTAAGCTCTTTCCAAGATAAGAGTACATGTGAATAATTAAGTAATAACAAAGTTTAAGAATTACCCAGGTTTTCGCAATTTGGTTCTTTTGGGATATTTGTAAATTAGGTTCTTTATGTAATTGTATTAACAGACAATAATGGAATGTTATATTCTTAGCATAACCCTGAGCTGATCAAATTATAAGAAGTGGAAAGCAATTGATAATTGTTAGAAATTGCTATCTGACCTCTCCTTTGCCTGACTATTTAATGTTGATCTTATTTTGTACTAAATCAGATGATAGTAACTGATAGCATTTACCCCCTGTGTAGCAATGATGTATTCTAAATTGCCTGGACTTCCCTCTATTGCTAGGTTTATAATTAAAAGGATATATAATACAAAGAAGAGAAACTGAAACTCAAAAGGAGTATGAGATTATGAGAGAGGTCTAAGAGTTAGGAAGAAAGTTTGGGAAGCATCCTTTCTCTTAATTGCCTCCTACACTGTAGCATACCCCTCTTTTTCTTGCTCACATACATAAAAAGTTCTACTGTTGAAAATAGGTGTATGACTCTAAAGGCCTGTATAGCTCACTCCAAACATTTTAGCTGTTTTTATTATTTTCATTCCCTAAGAATAATATAATCACAAATTCCATGATATTATATATCATGGAATTTTTGCCTTGAGGTAGGGGCCAGACTAGCAATTTATAACAAATAATACTATTTGTATTACACAGAAAGTTTCTAAACAGATATTATTGACTACTTCAGTAAACATGTTGTTTTATAATTGAAACCACAAAATTGAGTACCATAATTATTTTTAAAAACTAAGTAAACATTGTCTATGCTTATTTGGGAATTTTAGCTAAACAATGCATGGTATATAGTCACAGTTTATAGTATCTAAGTTATCTGTATGAATTCAACAGGCTGAACCTTTCATAGCTACCAAACCTATCTAACTTAATACAAATGACTATAAGCAAGCTTCAAAAAACTTTGATTTCCATTTATGTGAATCCAAGCTCTCATAGAAGTGGGTTTCTACTATTTTCCATGCAAGCAACTAGCTTCCTTGCAGCACTTTGCCACTTAATTCCAACAAAAATATCTTGCTACAACAACAGCAAAATTTACCCATGTGACTATAAGTCTGTGTTAGTCATTGCATATTCTAGACATCTAATTGATAATGTAATACTGGGTTTGTATTGAGGTCAAATTATATGGATCATAACCTTAAAATTATTCCAACTTGAGATAAAATATTTTGGAAAAATTGTACTTCTGCCATCTATTTTATTTTAAATATGACTATTTAATTCAGAATTGGAAAGAGGTGAAAAATTAACTTATTTATAGTTTTTATTTTGCCATAAAGGAAAATTGCATCGTTTATGACATTAGAGAAAAGCTGGAAGTGAGAACACACTTAGCCAGAGTTCGTATACTTTTCTCAGGCGCAAGTAATCTGTACTGTCTCTTCTAAAAATGGTTGACCAAAGAAGGTTTAAAGGCTGCTTGTTCATGATAAATAATTGACAATGGAAGCAGTAAATACCTCTATTAAGTTAATTTCTTGCTTGCACTCTATCTCAGTTTTTACCTACTCAGGCTAATTTGCAGGTGCCTGGGATGAGTAGACAATCCATAATTTCTACCAATCAAGTAAAAGAAGGAAAGAAAACTGAGCTTCTCTCCCAGTTACCAGGTAGTTTGCTGTGGTTAAAATTAATGCAGATTTTACAGCAGCAGATATTAGCATTTTCATTTATTATAAGTAATTATTTTGAAATTTGGGAAATGAATAGTTGAGTGCATCATTTGAGTGTTTATTTGACCAGTTATTAGTGCAAGAAACCATCATATAAATTGTTCTCTATGTGTTATTGCAAATCAGTTTGTTTCTCTCTTCATTTTAACTTGTTTTAAGAAAAATGCAGTATGGTTACTTTTACTTGAAAATATATTTTATTCTTTGCAGTGTTTGAGCAACACACCTCCACTTACTGAGTATTTCCTCAATGATAAGTATCAAGAAGAACTGAATTTTGACAATCCCCTAGGAATGAGAGGTGAAATAGCTAAATCTTATGCTGAATTGATCAAGCAAATGTGGTCTGGAAAGTTTAGCTACGTCACCCCAAGAGCCTTTAAGGTTAGTGTGATAAATGCATTTCAGCAAGGACACCTACAAGGGTACAAAAATTGGTTCTTGGGGATGGGGGAGTGAAAAAGAGTAGCTATTAAAATGGATTATGGCCCTCCAAAGAAACACAGTACATAAAAAGATATGCACTATATCTGTGGTATAAAATTTAGGTGGGGGGGGATATGAAACAGTTGATCAGTTTTTTGTTTTTTTTTTTTTAACATCTAAATCTGGGATGAGGAGAATAATGAAAAAAAAAAGTTGAAAAACACTGGTATGGTACAAGAATGACTACCGAAACAGCAATGAGTGTTTGCATAGTTGTTTTAGAATACAGTACATCTCTGGAAAACCTATATGAATATTCTGCATAAATGTAAAAGACTGAATTTGGGCATGTCATTGCACTCTAAGAACTCATTTAATTTTGAGAGTCATTATGAATTTGAAAAATTATCAAAATGAAAATAGTCTGCACACCAAGCACTAAAAATTAAATGTACTTTCAGTACGGTTCTTAAACTTTGAAGGCTATTCACATTTGTGAATTGTTACTTATCAAGGAATTTAATTTATTGTTCAAATAAAAGTTGAGCTGAAATTTAGCTTTATAGCTGAAATTTAACTTCAGGTTGTTAAAAAAATTTCCTAATTATATAGGTGAAACTTTGAGAAATTTTAAACTTATAAAGAGAATAAGCAGTTTTAAGTCATTATTTATACAAGTAATTTAAATGGCATTCATATAGAACATCTACTAGACAACATTTTTTATTAACTAATTTTTTATATACTAATTCTTAGAAACTAAAAAACAACCAGCAAATCAAAATACCTCTGTATTTGTCTTCCTTAACATTCTGAACTTTGGACACAGTAGTCTAGACAAACCATGTCTCAGCCCTTACCCAGCCTTCTACTTGGTTTCGTTTTGGTAGATGTTCTCTCTTAAAATTATGTGTAAGTAAGTTCTTGATATATATGACTTTTTTCTTTCACAAGATGATTTATGCTATTACATTTATCTTCAGTCTCATTCAAAAATACTTAGTGATGCAAAGATTAGGAAAATTGAACATGGACATTAGTATTGGTTATCTCTATGAGATTCATCCTCCTTTTACACATAGAAACTAAATGAGAACTTAAAGTACTTATCTTTAAAATGCTTTCAGATACATAATTATTTATATGTGGTAATAAAAAAGGATGAGAACCTGCCTCTTACTGTCTACCTATCAAACATTTACAGGAGGAGGCAATAGGAATACCTAGAGCTAAGAATTGAGAACATCTGGAAAATCCTTTGACAAATAGTGAAACAACAATTAATGACAGTGAAATCTATGATCAAACAAAGATCAGTACATTTATATATATTAAAGATTTCATGTGTTGATCTATTTTGTCCCATATAAGCTTTGTTGAGGAATGCAAAACAAAATATAATTCCTATGTATTCCTGTTCATGTATACAATTTTTATTATTCACAGTAGTTATGTTCCATGAAGCTGCTACAAACACTGAAATAAATACTGAACCATTACTCCTAGGGAAAATATAGGGTGCGATTCCTCCAAGCCTTTGTTCACAACATTTTCGTGAACCAGACAGTTTATAACTTTGTTTTGCATATGTTTCTGTTTAAAAACAACTTGTTTAATATATGTTGTTGAGTCGTTAACATTGAACTCATAGGAAACAGCACTGTAACTCATGTCTTAATAAAGCATATCTAACACATGCTTTTTCTTCATAAGGCACATCACAGCTTTCATGCATTTAGGAACACTAGCTGGCTAGTACTTCATTTAGTGGCCATTTTAAATACTGAAATTAACAGCAAAACAAAAATATGAAAAAACGTAACACTAAATAAACTACTAAAGGACAGTTGTTTATAGATTGAGAGCTGAAACAAGAAGGCGAAGCATCACCTTGTTCAACCCCAGTTGGTAACATGCATATCAAGTGACTCAAATTTTTTGCCACACTGAACATATCCGCAAATGACCATGAATTGATTTTGGGGTTACAAACAAATTTTAGCAAGTAGGCAAATTCACAACTGTGGAATCCATGAATAATGAGAATCTATTGTACATATTTTTAAAAATCAACCCTGTTCCTAAAACTGATTTTATGGTTTTGCCTTTCTTACAGACACAGGTAGGACGTTTTGCACCTCAGTTCTCTGGATATCAGCAGCAAGACTGTCAAGAACTATTAGCTTTCCTACTAGATGGATTACATGAGGATTTGAATAGAATTAGGAAAAAACCATATATACAATTAAAAGATGCAGATGGAAGGCCAGATAAGGTAAATTTCATGATCTTATTGTCACCATTGCTATAATTTTGTGATACCTCGTTCTAATTTGTGTCTATTATCCTTATAGGTGGTTGCTGAAGAAGCCTGGGAAAACCATTTAAAACGAAATGATTCTATCATAGTAGATATTTTTCATGGCCTTTTCAAATCAACTTTAGTTTGTCCTGAGTGTGCTAAGATTTCAGTAACATTCGATCCTTTTTGTTACTTGACACTTCCATTGCCCATGAAAAAAGAGCGTACCTTGGAAGTTTACTTAGTTAGAATGGATCCGCTTACCAAACCTATGCAGGTAAATCATGGTTATTTTCTTTGCATTTGTTGCTTTTGTAAAAAATTAGTGTTGAGTACTTATTATAAAAATTAAGTGTTGAATTCTCAAGCCCAATCAATAATGCTTATTTGTGTAAGAGATTTTATAAGCTGAATACTTTGGAAATTAGTGTAACTTTTTACAATCTTGAAAGAGCAATGTATACCATATAAAAAATTTTCAAAAGGCTTTTTCTCATTAAAGAAAGGTGAGAAGTTTATTTTTATAATATTGGGATGAATATTAGCTTATGAAGATGAACATTATAGTTTTTATATTTTTTAAAGTTCAACTTTCTTTAGTGTTGATTATAATTTTTTATACTAATGCCTATTGGAAATAAAGCTAATACTTTACATTTTAAATTATAATGTGACAATAGTACATTTAAATACCTGTAGTTTTTGGCATTTTAAGAACTTAAAAGGAAATGGAAATGTAGTTAGACTAAAAATATTTAGTTCAGTAATGATCTCTAATTTTTAATACTTTGAAATATCACATATTGTTTATTCTGTACAAAAGTCCTGTGGTAAGTCTTAACTGTCAAATTGTCTGCCTGATTTTATTACCTAGTGTTGTAATTGGATTATTTATATTTTGTGAGCAAAATACTGTATTTTCTCCCTTATTTATTAATCAGTTAATTCTCTTCTGACGCTTGACCCATCCCAGTGAAAGTAATTTCTTTCTTTTTCTACTTTCTCTTTCCCTAAATTCTAACACTTAACAATTTTTATTATAACCTTTGGTTTACTTTTATCTTTTCTCCCTAGACTACAAGTTCTTTGAAGGGACCTTGTAAACCTTTGTATTTCCAGCTCTTGTGACTTATAGATATTAATGCACAGGAAGTATTCAAAAATTTTATTCATTAGGGTACTTAACTGTGCACCTACTGGTTATAAAGCTGTTTCACTAAACAAAACAGATATGATTCTTGCTTTAGAAGATTGTTTTCTGTAAATCTTTAGCCAAATAGCTCAGTTTGTTAGTGCATAATAGTCATGATATCTATATGAAAGCCATGTTTTGAACAAAATTATGATCTTACCATTCAGGGATGTATTTGGGTTTACTGTCAACAAAAGCAAGGTATATGTAGTGTTCATAAAAACACAGACCTTTCATTCAAAGTAATTAAAGTCTAGTAAATACTACTTATATACTCACTTATGCAAATTTAAGCCATTTGTTTTTCTACTGCTTTATGTTTTCTTCATTAACTCATTGAACAAAGTGCCCGCATATCAGTAGTTCATTGGGGAGTTCTAAGTGTACTGTCCTTATCTGTGAGCAGAGCCAGTAAAGCCCTGCTTTTACTTTTGGCCAGGGGAATATATGTTCACATTTTTAAAGTTATATCCTTTAGATATTCACTTATTTATAAGTACCAGATTGTCAACATTCTTTTCAGTGGTGAGAAACTATAGCAGTGCCAGACCACATCCTTACCTCTCTAGTTGTTAACTTTGCAAAGATACACCAATGAGTGTAATGGAGCAAGAGAGTATAGAATAATGAGTATAAATTTACTGCAACAAAAAATAAATGTAGATGTTTTATTTCTCTGTAGCACATTTGTTAAAGACAATATTCTCCCATGCCAATAATATAAGGTGATCGATATCATAATAGTGGCAAATTGCATTAATTTACACAGTCTATAAGGTATGTGATAAGTGTTCTTCCATAAATTGGGCTCTAAATTATTTTTCTAGCAATGTGAGTTTCATTAACTTACGCTTTTCTCATTTGGTGACCAATAATATGAATTTGTGGAGGTGAGAGCCATGATTACCACAGAGAAATTCGGTTGTTTTTGTGTTTCATGGGTTTTTTTTTCCCCCATTTAAAGGCAGTAACAACTCAAATACAAAATGATTACCTCATTTCATTAACACTGTGCTTTAACCAGCTGATAAGTGAAATTAGCTGAGTTGCCCTATTTGTTGAGTTTTCCCATCATTAAATTTGATTTAGGTCATAGAAGCTTATTAGGAAAAATATTGAATATGTATTATGTCTTGGGCTCTCATGCTATTCAAGGTGCTAGAAATATAATGGTGTTTCTACTCCTTGTTCTTCAATAAGCTAGTCATACAGTGTGAAAATTGCTATGACAGGGTGCTGCAGGAGAACACAGAAAGAGCAACCCACCCAAACTGGTTATGAGGCCTATGATGAATTCTGAAGGACAATTAGGTTGTAAGCACGTGAAAACTAGAAATAAAAGCATTATAGGCCAAGAGAATGGCATGTACAAAAAGCTTATGGCAAAAGAGGACATGGCCCAGTTCTGTAACCTACAGGTAGTTAATATAGCAAGCAGGAGATAAATCACAAAGAACTTTGATGCCAGTGTAAGAATTTTGAACTTCATCCTAAAAACTAGGGAAGCCATTAAAGACTATTAAGTATAGATATTATATGGCCTGAATTGTGTTTGAGAAAGATGATTCTGGCTGGCATAGCAATTAGTTAGAAAAGCTTAGTACTAAGACCAGGTAAGAAGCTTTTCGTGATCGGATGACAGACAAATGACAAACGCTTGAACGCTGAAGATTCGTGTCAGGATGGTAGTTTGAAGAACCAGTTGAATGTGGGAAGTGAAAATGTTTATGTATATTCAAAAATGATGCCAAGTTTACTTGGCTGGAAAACAGGAGACAATAGTGCTGTTTTAATGGGATATATAGGAAGAACAAGTTGAAGAAGGAATCTATTTTAGTATTGAGCATGATGGCCCAACATGACCTAAACCTGTGTTTAGCATTGGAAATGTTGACTTACAGATGCATGAGGAACATTTAGGTAGAGATATCCAGTAGGCATTGAATTTGTTTATCTAGACCAAAGGAGAAAGACTGCTTTAGATACAAATTGGGCAATGAGCTCTATGAAAATGATAGTCAGTGTTTTATAAAGATGAGATCACTTAAGGCTAAGGTGACCTTGTGATTCATCATCTAAGCAAGAACTCTTTTGAAAATAGAAGGGACTGTCAATAATAATTATACTAGGATAGCAGGCTAATCCAGGACTGGCCAAAGCAAATCAGGAGATACTGTTACTCGTCTGAAGAGAGCATATAAAATTGAGAAGAGGGCTAAAGACAAAACTCTGAAGAACACTATAGGAGAGCTTCAAAAGGAGAATATGATCAACAACAGTAGAAAATAATTAAGAAGTAGTTGTGTTATAAGGAAAGGGAATTTTTTTAAGGAGAAAGTGGTCAGCAGTCATATTACAAAGAGGTCGATAAAAAACTGGTAAGTTGTACAACAATATTGATAACCTTGGAAACAGGTTAAAAAGTAAACGGGAGATAAGGAAGTTAGTAATATAGATACCACTAATAAAGCTATTTATAATATAAAGGAGAGGGGGAGATAATTAGAAGGGAATTATTAGAGGGAAAGCAATGAGGGACTCTTGTTTTTTGAGAGACTTTATATTCCAGTGCTTATGCAAGAGTCAGCATAAAGTGGAAGAAAGAACAATTGCTGGGTGTAGGTCACAGAGAAAGCAAAACAGCATAGATTCAGAGCATAGATGCTAAGGCTAGCCATAAATAAGATGATAGACACCTCTCTTTCCATGTGTTGCAAGAGACAGAAAATTAGCTACATGGATTAAAATAAGTTAGTAGGAAAACAGGAAGTTGGAGGTTTTCCCACCCAGTAGCTTCAGTTTTTGAGGTGAAACAGATATTCTGCTGATATGAAGGGAGCAGTAGTGAAATAGGAAGCCTAAAGAATGGTGAAGACTTTTTTTTTTTTTTTTTTTTTTTGAGACAGGGCCTTGCGCTGTCACCCAAGTTAGGGTACAGTGGTATGATCTCAGCTCACTGCAACCTCCGCCTCCTGGGCTCAAACAATTCTCCCACCTCAGACTCCCACGTAGTTGGACTACTACGTGTGCCACCATGCCTGGCTAATTTTTTGTATTTTTGTAGGGATAGAGTTTTGCCATGTTGTCCAGGCTGGTCTCAAATGTTTGGGCTTAAGTCCACCTGCCTTGGCCTCCCAAAGTGCTGGGATTACAGGCATGAGCCACTGCACCCAGCCCAGTGAAGATTTTAAATAGCTATTGAGATAGATGAGAGAAGAAGCAAATATGTGATACGCAGAATTATTTCTGGGTACTGTCAAAGGATCAGTTGAGATTGGGCACTGTGAATTTGTAGCACACCAGCATCTAAAATTGGGAAATTTTCTCAAGCACATCTGAACAGCTCTGAGAAAATTTAGCAAGAGTGGAATGAGTAAAATTGAGTAACAAAGACATTAAAAGCTTGTGATAAAGTATGTTGGGCCTGGATAGAAGGGCAAGAAGACAGTAGGTAGCTGGTTAACTGGGGGAAAACAGAGTTAAAAGGAATAGAAATCTCTGTGCAAGCCAAGAATAGATAAGAATGCATTTCCAGGAGAAGTAGGAAGTAGTGGTTAGACAGTAACCATTAGTTTAAGATAGTAAAATTGGGGCTAGATGCAGTGGCTCATGCCTGTAGTCCCAGCACTTTGGGAGACTGAGGCAGAAGGATCACTTGAGTCCAGGATTTTGAGACCGTTCTGGGCAACATAGTGATACCTTGTCTCTAAAAAATAAAAATTAGCCAGTCATGATGGCACACACCTGTAGTCCTAGCTACAAGGGAGGCTGAAGTGGGAAGATGGCTTGAGCCTGGGAGATTGAGGCTTCAGTTAGCCAAGATCATGTGACTGCATTCCAGCCTGGGCAACAGAGTAAGACCCTGTCCTAAAAAAAAAAAAAAAAAAAAAATAGCAAAAGTGGGAGCAGTTTCAAGTGATGATAGGATCTAATAAGTTGACTAAGGTTGAATGAATGCAAGTGTAGGCCTTTGAATTGAGGAGCCAAGGAAATGATAAGACTAGGACAAATTATCCATGTGGACATTGTCACCTAGGATCCAGGATGGTGGCAAGATTGGAAACAAACACTGTGAGCCAAATGCCAAATGAATATGAGGAAACAACCATGAGGTCACTCTCATTTACTGAATTTTTTTTCCCAAAATAATAAATTTTTAACAATTTTTTTGGTTTGTTTTTTAGTACAAAGTGGTTGTCCCCAAAATTGGAAACATATTAGATCTTTGTACAGCATTGTCTACTTTGTCAGGAATACCTGCAGATAAGGTAAGATGTTTCTGGGGTTGAAGTATACAAGTTGGCATTTAGTTTCTCAGTGTTGTAAAACCAGTTTAATAGAAATTCTTTTCTTTCTAGATGATAGTTACTGATATATACAATCATAGATTTCACAGAATATTCGCTATGGATGAAAACCTTAGTAGTATTATGGAACGGGATGATATTTATGTGTAAGTATAAAACTCATTGTGCAAAATATTACTTGAAAAAAAAATCAAAAGAAGTAACATAAAATTTTGAGAGTTTATGGTCAGTTTTGTCCTTGTAGGTTTGAAATTAACATCAATAGGACCGAAGATACAGAGCATGTGATTATTCCTGTTTGCCTAAGAGAAAAATTCAGACACTCAAGTTATACCCACCATACGGGTTCTTCACTTTTTGGTCAACCTTTTCTTATGGCTGTACCACGAAACAATACTGAAGACAAACTTTATAATCTCCTGCTCTTGAGAATGTGGTAAGAACCAGACAATTCTATATTGACAAAATAAATATGGGAATAAAATATGAAATAGCTGGTAAAAATAAACACAAAAGGTACTATCAGAATATAATTACACAAGTCTGTATTATCTCAATTTTGTTTAATAATAAATTTTGTTTATTATTTGTAAAACAATAACAAATGTCAAATGCTTCATTTCTTACCAGTTCATGATTAATAGTATTGTAAGGCAGCCTAGTTTTTGCCTTCCTAAAACTCTTGATTTAAATTATAAAGTTATCAAAAATGTTATTTGATTCCTTTCTTTTACCCTTGAATGCTGATATATTTAGTATTCTTTCATGCATATCTAATTGTTATAGTTTCATAACCCATATATATAGGTCACATTATACAAATATAAGTGTTTTTAGCAATAATATATACCGTCTAAATGAGGATAAGTTGAGAAATTATTTGCAACAAACATTTGACATTTAACCTAAAAGTAACTATTAATTATTTTTATAATGACAAGCAAAACAAATTACTAGTCAGTTACACTTATGATACTGTAAGTTTGAATTCACCCTTGAATCAGCTAAGTGACCACTGTTATCACATTAAAAAGTTTTGTTTTACTGATAGAAAACTTTTTTTAAAGTTTTTATCTTTATAGTACTGAACTTGTTTGATTTCTGATTTTATTTAAGTCGATATGTCAAAATATCTACTGAAACTGAAGAAACTGAAGGATCCCTACACTGCTGTAAGGACCAAAATATTAATGGGAATGGCCCAAATGGCATACATGAAGAAGGCTCACCAAGTAAGACTTTTCTGTTAACTTATAAAAATGTTTCACTTAGATAATTGCTTCAGAGAAAAAGTTAAGAAAGTGGGAATTAAAGAAATAAAAAATACCTGCAAACCTAAATATAACATTGGGCTTATCTAAAGCTCTCTAATATCTGAAATTAGGTGAAATGGAAACAGATGAGCCAGATGATGAATCCAGCCAGGATCAAGAACTTCCCTCAGAGAATGAAAACAGTCAGTCTGAAGATTCAGTTGGAGGAGATAATGATTCTGAAAATGGATTATGTACTGAGGACACTTGCAAAGGTCAACTCACGGGACACAAAAAACGATTGTTTACATTCCAGTTCAACAACTTAGGCAATACTGATATCAACTACATCAAAGATGATACCAGGCATATAAGATTTGATGATAGGCAGCTTAGGCTAGATGGTAAGTATTTGTGAAAAATGGCTTGAACATTAAACACGCAGAGCACTTTTTGTTTGTTTGTTTTAGTTAAAAACCATGAAATTCAGCTCTGTCAAGAAAACTGCCATTTACTTTTCTATTTCAAATTTCATATGAAAGGCCCTAATATCTTAGTAGAGTAAAATGTGTGTCTATGTTTTATAAATGGAGATTGAACTTATGCTTAAGTTTTCTGTCTTTTTTAAAACTCTTAAATTATTTCAATGACTTGGAAACTGCTATTAGCCCTAATCACCTGGTACAAGTAGAAAAGATTGCTATTTATTTATTCTTATATATATCCTAACATTAAAATATATTTTAATACTAAGACATATTAAATTTTAAAGAAAAAATATGTTTTCCACCTTAGAAAGATCTTTTCTTGCTTTGGATTGGGATCCTGATTTGAAAAAAAGATATTTTGATGAAAATGCTGCTGAGGTAAGTCATCACTCGCTCACTCATTTACCTATCCTTGATTTACTTTATGTAATTACCAGAGATAATAATACTGTTTTGTTACATTCTTTGCTTGCACCAAATACATTTATTTTGCCAGTAAAAAATTAGTCATGAACTAAAAAAGAAAGTCTTTGCAAAAATACCTTTTTTTTTTTTAAAGATTCAAAGTTTGTTTTGAACATGCTTTGGTCATCCATATAGGAGTATAAAGGAATTATTTAGAAGTATGGTATAAATCTCAACTGAAAGAAGCTTTACGATTCTTTTGAGAAAATTTAGGAGTTTTCATTATTATTCATAGTAAGATGGTATCACTAAAATGAGTTTTGTTTCATTTGTTCTCTTAACTCAAGAAATACTTCTCTTTAGGACTTTGAAAAACATGAAAGTGTGGAGTATAAACCTCCTAAAAAACCCTTTGTGAAATTAAAAGATTGCATTGAACTTTTTACAACAAAAGAAAAGCTAGGTGCTGAAGATCCCTGGTAAGAGACAAAATTAAATAATTGTTTTTGTTTTCTTTAAGAATTTATTCTGAGCTGTGTGCCACATCAAGTTGAAAAGTAATTACTAAATTCCTTTTGATAATAAATACTAAAGCTTTCTAAAGCTTTAGAAAGCTTTAGTATTTAAAGCTCTTTGGTTTTAAATACTAAAGCTTTCTTTATATAGTAAGTTATAGCCTATTAAGAGGGATGGGAATGTTTTAAAAAATACTATTACAGGCTGGGCGCAGTGGCACACACCTATAATCCCAGCATTTTGGGAGGCCAAGGTGGGCGATCACAAGGTCAAGAGATTGAGACCATCCTGGTCAACATGGTGAAACCCCGTCTCTACTAAAGTTACAAAAAAATTAGCTGGGTGTGGTAGCATTTGCCTGTAATCCCAGCTACTTAGAAGGCTGAGGCAGGAGAATCGCTTGAACCCAGGAGGTGGAGGTTTCAGTGAGCCAAGATTGTGCCACTGTACTCCAGCCTGTTGACAGAGTGAGACTCCATCTCAAAAAAATTAAAAAATAAAAACCTATTATAGTGTTGCCTTAATTTCATTACTGTGTTTTCCATAATAGTCATTATACTGTTAATAATTCATCTTACTTTTTTTCCAAGAAATTTTAGCTATGTAATCATTTTGAGAAAAGCTTTTTAGGAAAAGTATAGGGATATATTTTGTGGTGGTGTTCCATTACAGCCCAGAAGTTTTCAGATTTTCTAATACCTATCTTCCAGCACAAATTTGCGATCTATGTCTTTTTCTCATACTAAAAAAGAAATAATCTAGTCCTCATTATTTATTTCAATATGTATTTGTATATTAATTTATAATGGTTAAATCTATTTGAAAAATGTGTTGAAAATAAAAATAGTAAAAAGAGTTGCTTTCAACCTAGTACATATTAGGCATACGATAATTGCCCACTGAATAAATGTAGAACTTTCCAAACATTTCTGGTCTATTATTTTCATTAATGGGGGTTGTTTGTACTTCTCTCAAGCTTTAAATGCTTCTTTTTATTCTTAGGTATTGTCCGAATTGCAAAGAACATCAGCAAGCCACAAAGAAATTGGATTTGTGGTCCCTGCCTCCGGTACTTGTGGTACATCTCAAGAGATTTTCTTACAGTCGATATATGAGAGACAAGTTGGATACCTTAGTTGATTTTCCTATCAAGTAAGTTTTAATTGTACTTATAAGCATTGGGCAACTCTTCTTTCGAACTGATGCTTTTTGTTATTATTCTTTTTTTGTGTGTGTGTGAGACAAAGTCTTTCTTTGTCACCAGGCTGGAGTGCAGTGGCACAATCTCGGCTCACTGCAACCTCCACCTCCCAGATTGAAGTGATTCTCCTCCCTCAGCCTCCTGAGTAGCTGGGACTACAGGCGAGCACCACCATGCCCAGCTAATTTTTGTATTTCTTTAGTAGAGACAGGGTTTCACCATGTTGGCCAGAATGGTCTCAAACTCTTGACCTCGTGATCTGCCCACCTCGGTCTCCCAAAGTTGTGGGATTACAGGTGTGAGCCACTAGGCCTGGCCATAGTTATTATCCTCTAGTAAACATCAGATGTCATTGGACCCAATTTCAGCTTTCAAGTTTGTTTTTGAGTAGTTCTAACGATTTATAAGGATCGGTGTTTCAAAATTTTTATTTTATTTTTTTAGAGATTTTCCAAAGACCAAAGAGAAAATATACTCTTTTTTTAAAAAAGATAGGGTTTCACCATGATGGCCAGGCTGGTCTTGAACTCCTGACCTCAGGTGATCCACTCACCTCTGCCTCCCAAAATGCTAGGATTATAGGCGTGAGCCACCACACCTGGCCGAAAATATACTTTTAAAAAATAATAAAACTCCTTCTGTATAACATTATCTATGGGTTAATTGGTCTGATTTATAAATCTAAGATACTTTATGGTACTTAGTGATTTTGTTTATCCTAGGAATTATTTAATCATTACTCATCACTTATTCCTAAATATGCCAGTTTGGTTTTTTGTTTGTTTGGCTTTTGAGACGGAGTTTTACACTGTTGCCCAGGCTGGAGTGCAGTGGTACAGTCTCAGCTCATTGCAACCTTCACCTACTGGGTTCAAGTGATTCTCCTTCCTCAGCCTCGCAAGTAGCTGGGATTACAGGCACCTGCCATCACTTATATTTTTAGTACAGACAGGATTTCACCATATTTAACAGGCTGGTCTCGAACTCCTGACCTCAAGTGATCCTCCCGCCTTGACCTTCCAAAGTGCTGGAATTACAGTCATTAGCCACCTTGCCCAGCCCTTAATATGCTATTTTCAAAAAGACTAAAATAAAACAGAATAATGGAATTGTTTAGAAGGATAACACAGTAGTGAAATAAATCATCCCTATTGCATCATCCTTCAGTTTTCCTATTGCCACTGTATGACATCATATTTGTAAAAAGATATATTTATGGCCATACCAACTTGAATGCACCCCAATCTTGTCTGTAAAAAGATATAAAAAAAAATCTATACATCTTCATATTCTTTTTTTTTTTCTTTTACCCCCTGCTTTTACTAAACAGTTGTAAATTCAGAATGACAAAAAGAGAACATTGTATTCTCAATCACTTAGTCATTCAACAGGAAGGACTTTGTCACACAATATTTTGCACAAGAACTTGTACTCTCCCATTTTGCAAAGAGAACTTTCAATGGTATTATTTTACATTCTGTGGTATTTGTGCACTAAAATTTACTTGATACACTTAGTAAATGGACAAATGCTAATGGCAGGTGTATCTACAAAGGTAACTAGAAGTAAATAGATTACATAAAACAAAATATTTATTGGATTGCTCATTCTAATTGATGGTTATAAATTTAAAAATGAAAATTATATATAATTATTGAATGAAAAAAAGCTCATTTTCTTTTTAACAAAATAGTGAGCCATTAAAAGTTTTTAATAATGTAGCATTTGGCAATGTAAGAATAAGAAAAAGAATCAGGAGTAATGACAAACTAGAATCTGTTAGAGATGTATTTAAAAATTAGAATCATTATTGCTTTTTAATGATGCAAATACAAAAAGAATAACCAGAAATAATAATAACCTATTTACAAGATGGTCATTTTCCAGGTTCTTGAATGATAGATTATGATTAGTCAGTTACATTCAAAGGATGTTGCCCATTTCAGGTGTATAGGTCATCAAAGCCAACAAATGTAGAATAAAAATTAGGGTTTGATATATTAATATTTTTTAAAACTTCTGAGAAAGTTGTTTTTACTATTCTTGTATTTTTCTTCATATAAATCACTTCCTTTTTTTTTAACCTCCCACCCTGCCCATAAACTACTTTATAAAATTGACTTTAAAATAAAGATCCATTGGACCCAGGTGGTAAATAGTGATGGCTTTTTCTCCTGATATACTGAGAATTAAATGTGTTAGCATAAAAACGTTAATCTGAATAACAACATTCAACATTTGTATTTATTTATTTTTTAATTTTTGTGGCTACATAGTAGGTGTATATATTTGTGGGGTACATGAGATGTTTTTATGCAGTGTGAAATAGTCACATCATGGAGAATGGAATATCCATCCTCTCAAGCATTTATCCTTTCTGTTACAAACAATCCAATCACACTCTTAGTTATTTTTAAATGTACAATTATTATTGACTATAGTCACCCTATTGTGTGATCAAATAGTTGTTTTATTCATTCTTTTTTTTTTTTTTTTTAGCTCATTACCATCCCCACCCTTCCCAGCCTCTGTTAACCATCCTTCTACTCTTTCTGTTCATGAGTTCAGTTGTTTTGATTTTTAGATCCCACAAATGAGAACATGTGATGTTTATCTTTCTGTGCCTGGCTTATTTCATTTAACATAATGATCTCCAGTTCCATCCATGTTGTTGGAAATGGCAGGATCTCATTCTTTTTTATGGCTGAATAGTACTTCATTGTGTATATGTACCAGACTTTTTTTAACCATTCATCTGTTGATGGACACTTAGTTCCATCAACATTGCAACATGTAGTTCCATCAAATCAATGAGATTTGGTTGTTGTTTCCAGATCTTAGCTGTTGTGAACATTGCTGCAACGAACATGAGAGTGCAGATATCTCTATGATATACTCAATAAAACATTTTAACATTTTCAACCCATAAACAAGTCTTTGCCAAAACATTAATATCTCAGAGGTACATGTATGATTTGTTTTGTAAGTTACTTGACTCACAATTTCTTTAATGAGATATATATATATATATACACACACACACACACACACACACATACACACACACACACACACACACACATACACACACACACACACACACACACATATATGTCAAACAACAATGGCAGAAGGGAATAGAATTCATTGCATTTAGGGACAACATAAAATTAACTTGATTTCTTTTTTAAACAGTGACTTGGATATGTCGGAATTCTTAATTAATCCAAATGCAGGTCCTTGCCGCTATAATTTGATTGCTGTTTCCAACCACTATGGAGGGATGGGAGGAGGACACTGTAAGTTGACAGTTTGCCTTTTTACCCAAATCATGGTGTTTGAAGAACTCCAGACTTTTTTCTTTAAGATATTTATTAATTCTTAAGGATAAAATATCAGATGTGTCTTGCATATAGTAGTTCAATATTGATTAATGAATGAGTCAGCTTTTGAACCTTTTTTTTTTCACACTCGATATAGAGGATTGAGTTCATCATACTCTTCAGTTCAGGGCCCAGGAGGGAATGTTGTTGTCTTATTTAGAGTGCATTTCCCTCCACAGTCTCCTTCCCCTTTGCTTTCTAACATGTTTGATGCATATACTCTTGTAAATCATTAATATTTATTCATTTATATAATTAGTACTGTGGTATCTCTCTCACTAGGTCTTGACTCTTACTAAGACTTATCTATGTTATTTTGTGTCTGTTTAGTCAGTTGTTTCTCACTCACTGCTCATGATTTACATCTACCATATTTTATCTCTCCACTTATCTCATGATGGACTTCTAAATTGCCTTTCACTTTCTACCACTGTAAGACCGATAAACAATTGTTTATGGTATCCTATGTAAGAATTTCTTTGGGCTGCATACCCAAAAGTGAGATTGCTGAGTTTAAGTAAGTGTTGTCAGATTGTTCCACTCTACATTCTGCAAGCGATCGATTTTTCTGTTGAACAATATTTGCATTCCTTGGATATATCCTACTTATCTTTGTATATCTTTTGATACATAGCTGGATTTAGTCCAATTTATTTAGGGTTGTCAACAGTTTCATTCATAAGTGAAATGGTCTTGTAAGTTTTTTATATTTTCATTTATCTTAGTTTAGAATAAAGATTGGAGTCATAAAACAAGCTAGGATGCTTTATCCTTTGTCTATTTTTTTGGAACATCTAGTACAATACAGGAATTGACTATTCATCAAAGTCTAGTAGAATTAACCTGTAAAGCCATCTAGGTTTACAATAATTGTTTTTATTTACGTCATGCATATTGGTGTGTTCGGTTTTCTTTTTCCTTTTGTGTATATTTTGATGTTATCTTTGTGTCTAAAAATGTATACATTTCATTTATGTTTTCTAATTTAAGAACTGTTTATAATACTTATATTACTCTGTTTTTGTCTTTTTTCATTCTTTTTCTCTTTTTTTTTTTTTTTTTTTTTTTTAAGTCAATCTTTCTGGCTGGGTGTGGTGGCTCACGCCTGTAATCCTAGCACTTTGGGAGGCGCAGGCAGGAGGATCACGAGGTCAGCAGATTGAGACCATCCTGGCCAACAGGGTGAAACCCTGCCTCTACTAAAAATACAAAAATTAGCTTGGCTTGGTGGCGCCTGCCTGTAAATTCCAGCTACTTGGGAGCCTGAGGCAGGAGAATCACTTGAACCAGGGAGTCAGAGGTTGCAGTGAGCTGAGATCACACTGCTGCACTCAGCCTGGCAACAGAGCAAGACTCCATCTCAAAAAAAAAGTTAGTCTTTCCAGATTTCTCTCTTATTAATCTTTTCAAAGAATTAGCTTTTCATCTTATCAGATTTTTATTTTTGTTGTATGTATGTATTCTTTTTTATCTATTTATCTTTTTTGAGACCAGGTCTCTCTCTGTCACTCAGGCCGGAGTACAGTGGCATGATCTTGGCTCACTGCAACCTCCACCTCCTGGGTTCAAATGATCCTACCAGCTTTGCCTCCTGAGTAGCTGGGACTACAGGCCACCACACCCAGCTAATTTTTGTGCACTTTTAGTAGAGATGGAGTTTCACTATGTTGCCCAGGCTGGTTTTGAACTCCTGGGCTCAAGCGTTCCTCCTACCTTAGCCTTCTGAGTAGCTGGGACTGCAAGTGCACGCCACCACACCTCACCTGTATGTATTTATTCTATCTAATTGATTTCTTCTCTTCCCTTCATTGTATGGTTCCTCTTGTTACTTTGGGTTTCTATGTTACTCTTCTTATAATTTCTTGAGTTAAATGCTTAACCTTTTTGCTCTTCATTGTTTCTCCTATATTGAAGGCCGAAAATAAAGGCTATAAATATTCTGCTAAGTACTGCTTTAGCTGTACTTCATATTTTTATTGTCTTTCAGTTGTGTGTATGTTTTAATTTCCTTTATGATTTCCTAATTAGCCCAATGTTATTTAATCATATGTTTAGTTTACAAATATACAGTTTGTCACTTTGTTCTTTCAGTTATTACATAGCAGTTGAGAACATTGTCTTTATTAATCTTTAGGAGTCTGAAAGTTCCCAATGTCTTAATACATACATGGTCTGTTCCTTAAATATTTATATGCTTAGAAAAATATATACATTTCCCATTTAGATATGGAGTTCTTTGTATCTCTGATAGCTTAAGCTTATCAACTGTATTCAAACCATTACTCTCCCTGGTTATTTTTTATGTTCATTTTATTCCTGAGAGGAATTTGTCAGGACTCCTACTGAAGTGTTGATTGACCTGCTTCTCCCAACAGTTTTATTAGTCCTTATTAATATTTTGCATAATTACATTTATGTTCATAATGGGTAGCTCTTCTTTCTGTGTTGTTCCTTTTACACCAGGATTTGACATTCTTTGCCCCTTTTTTCTTTTTCTCGGATATTACAAGTGTTACTCTAGCTTTCTTTTGGATATCATCATTTAATTTACAAACTCTCTGTGCCTTTTTGTTGAATGTATCTCATGTAAATCACACAGATCTAAATGCAGCATCTGCTCTGCAGTGGTCTTGGATTGAGATTGACAAACTCACAGCACACAAAAGGCTTCACCCAGCACCAGGTTGACTTAGATTTAAGACAGGATACAGGTCAAGAAACAATACAGCATACACAGCAACAGCTTAGCAGAGGTCCTATATGTAGCTGGGAGGGGAGAAAATAGGGAAGGGCGTGCTCAAAGGAAGCTGTTCAGCCCACTGCTGTTTCCTTCTACTCCTCACCAAGGCTGATTTTTAACCAGAGTGCATGGGGTACAATCATATTAGGTGTGAAATATTTTGTTAGCCCAAGAGGGCTAACCCAACAGCAATAAGACTCTGATGTAGGTAGCCTGAATATTGCTAATTTCTGTGACAAAGATTGAAGCATGAAATTTAAAAGCTTTCTTCCAAATTGTCTTCTCATTTCTGCCTCCAGCCATTCTGTCGCATTCTTCAGTCATCTTGCATGCACACAGAAATATCCTTGAGTTAGTTCACTCTGATATGCCGTTAATCATATCAGTGACATATTGAGAACAGTGTTCTCAGTTTTTTTGTTACCTTCTTTGACCTTAACTTCCCTCTGCTTCTATGGTTTTTTTTCCATGGTTGACTTTTGAGGAGAGGTAACCAACAGCAGGTAGTATATGAAACATTTCTTCCACAGGGTAGGTGCTCAGTTAAATCATTAACTAAACAACTTAGAGTTTAAGCTGTTACTTTATTGTGGTGGGTTGGCTGGTTGCCTGGTTGGTTAGTTGGTTGATTGGTTTGTCTTTTGAATTTTCTTCTGGCTTCCAATGAAGCTTCACTAAAGATAATAATTACCTTACTTTCAAAATAATGTCATTCCCTCTGAACATCATCCAAACAGGTAACTTAATAGAGAATATTGCCCTTTGGTTTTAGCCATATTAAGGATAATACCTCAATTTCTTATTTATATATGAATGGGAAGGATAATAATTTTTACTTTAGGATGGGAAGAATTATTTAGAAACCATACCCTACAAAGTGTCACTTTTTAGAAGCAATGACTACAGATAATTATTTTAGGAACATTTTGCAACTTCATTTCTTCATTTACTGGGTAGTTTACGTAAGACATGGGATGGGAAAAGGGGCATTTTTTTTACTTAAAGATAAAGTAGTTCTTTAAAAATTATACGAATTAATCACTTTTTGCCTTTTTCTTGCTCTGTAGAGTCATCCCTATGTATCAGTGGATACCACAGATGCTCAAATTCCTTATATAAAATATTGTACTATTTGCATATAACCTTTTCACATCCTCTCATATACTTGTATGTGTAGATTATTTAGAATACCTAATACGATGCCTGCATGTCACTTCATTCACATGAATTCAACATAGTACTCAGTACATGGCAAATTCAAGTTTTATTCTTCAGAACTTTGTGGAATTTTTTTCCCCCAAATATTTTTGATCTGTGGTTGGCTGGGTTCAGGGATGCAGAACCCCTATATGCAGAGGACCAATTGTACTTTTGTTAAAAACTGAAAGAGATTCTGGCATTTAAAAAAAAAATATATATATAGCTTAATGAGTAGAGCTATCAGAAAAGAAATTGTCATAGAAAATTTAATAATAGCGGAAATTTCAAACTTTGAAGTCAGAAACAGGTCTAGGTTTAAATCCTAACTGCTAACTAACAGCTATACTACCTTCAGTAAATTATCCTTTTTTTGATGCCTTAATTTCCAAACTCTAAGGTGGGGAGAATAATAGCGATAATACCTTCTTTATGAGATGATACATGTAAAGTGTATAACACTATGCCTGGTACAAAGTAAGCACTACATAAATGTTCATTACCATTTATTGTCATTAGTGCTATTCTGTGAATTTAAAAGTAATCTGTTTTTTCCTGAGATGAAAAAAGTATGTTTAAACTTACATGAAAATTTTTTTAGGCATCTAATTGTGAAAATTATTCTAAAATACCTTTAATCATTTGAGTCAATTGAATGTGTAATAAATAAGCCTCATAGATGATTGTCAGGCAGTTTTAATAGATATTCCTTATATAGATGATTATAGGCTTTTGAGAAGTCCCCAGAAAACCAAGATCATTTTTGTCACAGTGATTATATTTTTTTCATTAGATACTGCTTTTGCAAAAAATAAAGATGATGGAAAATGGTACTACTTTGATGACAGTAGTGTCTCCACTGCATCTGAAGACCAAATTGTGGTAAGCTTGTCTTACATTTCCTGAAAACTATGGGATTCACTGTTTTAAGGAGTGAATATAAATTAGTAAAAGGGGCCCATGGAACACTGTAATCTATACTCTAGTAGCTTGAGTAGCTAAAAGTGACAATTCTTATTTAAAGAAATGTCAAATTGTCCCCTAAATAGAAATTTGTCTTCTAAATTTGCCCACTAATAAAAGCATAAATTGCAAGGTGAAAAAAATTTTAGTAGTTTTCAACATGGAGTTTCTAATAAAAATAATTAAGTTTTCTTTGGAAAGTAGATTCAGCTCTTAACTTTTTAGACATTGACTACTCAAAGCCAGAATGTTTAAACAGGAGAAGAAAAATCCCTGAAATACCTTTTCATACCTGTGATCTTTGAAGTCTTATCCTGCCTTATGAAAATTAAGTATTTCAACTCAAAATGACATAATTTGATAAAACAAACTACAGATTTTTAAAATATTAATGCTTGTGTACTTGCTACATTAATATTTTCTGAATAGTGGAAAAATTAGGAAGTTCCATCTCTTCACACTTAACATCAGTTTATCATTCACCGCTGACTCAGTATGGTTTTGTGTATGTGTATACATATATATACATACAGATACATACATATACATATCCTGTTACTTGTCTCCCTATATCTATGATAAAAAAGAGACTTGAACACTATAAATATTTTTTAAATTGTGTTTGTCTGAATTAACCACATTTTTGGTTTATACTTAAACTCCTAATTTCTTTTGTTCTGCAAAAGAAATTCAATTCTGTTCTCCTTAACTCTCCCAGCCCAAACATCCTAAAATTGCCCACCCTCTCCATCAGTCTTTTTAACAACGCTGCCCTAATCTTGGCTTCAAAGAAACAATTATCTTGTTTATATACAATATATGAATTTGTTGTTGCCATGCATTTTAGCAGTGATTCTTCATTTAATGAACAAATTGAATACGCCTATAATCCCAGCTACTTGGGAGGCTGAAGCAGGAGAGTTACGTGAACCCGGAAGGCAGAGATTGCAATGAGCCAAGATCACACCATTGCACTCCATCTTGGGCAACAAGAGTAAAACTCTGTCTTTAAAAAAAAAAAAAAAAAAAATAGGTAGATAGATATGCACAAAGGACTCCATTCTAAACAGAGTTAAAAAGACAGCTATCTCTTGCCAGGTGCTGTGGCTCACACCTATAATCCCAGCACTTTGGGAGGCCAAGGCGGCCCGCTCACAAGGTCAGGAAATTGAGACCATCCTGGGCAACATGGTGAAACCCCGTCTCTACTAAAAACACAAAACAAATAGCTGGACATGGTGGCACATGCCTGTAGTCCCAGCTACTCGGGAGGCTGAGGCAGGAGAATTGCTTGAACCCAGGAGGTGGAGATTGCAGTGAGCTGAGATTGCGCCGCTGCACTACAGCCTGGGAGACAGTGCCAGACTCCGTTAAAAAAAAAAAAAAGACAGTTATCTCTCAGTCCAGAGTTTAAAAGATAGCTGCCTCTAATTTATAAAGTAAAGAAGACAGATAAGTAAATTAATAGTTACAGCTAAGTACTATTAAATACCTTACTATAGCCACTTAGAAAGGGAACTTTTGTCTCAACTCAGATTTGGGGTTTAAGGGGATAAGACCAATACAGGGAAGTTGTAGTACAGAGAAGTTCATGTGGTGAAGATGTCTGACCTGAGTCTGTTAGTAAAAAATAAGAGTAAACTAAACAAAAGAAACAAAGGTGTTCTAACCAAAGAGAACAGTATCTACAAAAACAAGGAGGCATGACAAAGCATGACATTTTAAGGGAACAGCACATAATTGAATATGACTCAAAGGAAAAGCTCTTAAAGGGACATGGGGAAGAAATTAGGCTGGAGATAAATTTAGCACTTAGATCAAGAAAAGTGGCATTCTGGTTGTTTAAACATTTTGTTACAGACTATGAGAAGCCATTAGCTTGTTAAATAAGAGAATAACATTGTTCAATTTGTGTCTTAACTTCTCTCTGAGAACATCATAGAAGGCAGACTGAAGACACTGAGTAAAGAAACAGAAAAGCCATACAGTAGACTGTCACATAATTTAAGCAATTAAAATAGTAGTTAGAACAGTGTAAACAAGGGGAGAATGGATTTATGAGATATTTACTGGTCAGAATTAATATAACTTGATAAAAGATAGATATAATAAAGATCATAGTTGTAGAAATCCAGAGAAGGAGACGTTTAAGATGACTCTTATTTCACCATTCGCGAAGATTGGGAATATAGGAAGAATAGTTGCTGTTGAAGTTTGAGATGCCTGTATGATAGCTGTGTGGAAATTTCTGTTTGGTTCTTGAACTAATAACACTGGAGTTAATGAGTGAGAACTGATTTAGGTTATCCATTTGAGTTGTCAGCCTCAGGCAGCAGTTGAAGCCATAGGTTTAAATGAGTCACCTAGTGAGAGGATACATGTTGAGACAATGGTAGGCTGAGGACAGAACATAGTATGTTTAAAGGTCAGGATTTAGTGAGTCCACAGAAGAGTCTGAGGAAAAACCAGAGAGATAGGACATCTGAGTTGTGTTGTCACAAAAGCAAAACATTGTTTGTTGATAGAAAGAAATAGTGCAGCATTAAATGCTACTGAGAGATTGACCAAAAGAACTGAAAAAGGCACCCATTTCAGTTGTTTATGAAGTTATTGACCCTAGTGAAAGCCATTTTACTAGAATGGTTTGAGGGAAAGCTAGATTATTTTGAGTTGAGAACTGTGCATGACAGTGAATGATGAGTATTGACTACTCTGTTTATCACCCTATGAGGAAGAGGGGAAGAGAGAGGTACATGGCAGCTAGAAGAGGAGGTAGAATGGTGAGGGACTTAGGAAAAGCCTTAGGTAATTTTTAATGCGAAAGAGAAAAGTCCAGTGGATAAGGACTCATTAAAGATACACAGTGATGACTGATGGAACAGTATCCTTAAGATGGTAGGAAAAGTTGGACTCTACAGCAAACATGGGTTGAAGTGACTAGTATTGGAAGAAATTTACCTCTTCCTTAAGAGAAGATAGGAAAGAAAGCATAGAACTCTATTTCATGTTAGAGTAACTAGGTTAATCTGTGATACAGTTGCATTTATTTCTTGGTTCAAATAATTTAGAAGCACATAAAGATTTGTAATTCTGATGACCGTTCTTCCTTTAGTAGAAATTGTCTTATTGTTAATGAATTTTAGTAACTTCCATTTGACCATGCATGGTTTTTTCTATCTGACTTATACCCTCACACCAAAATTGGTGACCAGCTAAAAATTCATAATGTATTTAATGTGATCTTTGGGAATCGTGACCATTTTAACATCCTTTGTTTTGACAGTCCAAAGCAGCATATGTACTCTTCTACCAGAGACAAGACACTTTCACTGGAACTGGCTTTTTTCCTCTTGACCGAGAAACTAAAGGTGCTTCAGCTGCCACTGGCATCCCATTAGAAAGTGATGAAGATAGCAATGATAATGACAATGATATAGAAAATGAAAACTGTATGCATACTAACTAATGAAAGTCCCAGAAGCCATAAAAGAGAGACTTTCCTGCTGGTGGTATCTGTGGAAATGATGAAGTTACCCACCACATTAAAACAAAAGTCTGAGATGGGGAGTTTCAGATAACCGAATGTAAATCCTTTATCAGATTTTAACTTGTGCAGTACTTGAAGTGAAACACAATGAAAACTTTAACAAATTGTCTCTTAATACATTTACAGTCTTGTATTTACAAGCTAAATATATATAGGAAATCACAAATAAATCCCTTTTAAGTTTGCTGCTGTTTTGATTAATTATGTTTCCTTTGATTTTTTTTTTTGGATGTGAGTTAATTGATGACAAATGTTAAATTTGTAGATGTTGGTCATTTATTTTGCTTTAATAATACTGCAAGAAAACTATGGCTGAACTTAGTTTTTGGATAATCTAGTTCATGTGCATTAGGCTGCCGTATATACTACTATGATATTTAGCTGCAGTATCAGTGTGGCATAAATACTGCGGCAGCATTCTTCAGAAACCACATTTCCAAATTTATCCCGGTAATCAATGTGGGCCTATTAAAAAACTAAATCATGATACAAGAAACAGTCTTAGAAAAGATATTTCTTTTTGTAGTATCATTAAAAATCCAGAATATTATATTCATTTTACTGCCAATGTGGAAACAGGTTCTAGATTTCATATTCCATCTAAAGTCATGTTTCAGTTACATGTAAGTATTATCTACTGCTATTGGGATCTATTCTTCAGACGTTCAAAAACAATTTTGCTTTAAAATGCATATCTTTAATCTGGTGTTGGTCCAAAATTAAAATTTTTGCTGTCTGTTTTTCTCTACCCCATTTTATGGTAATTTGGCAACTTTAATTCTCCCAATTATTGTAATATAAGGACAGACTTAATAGTATTCTGTATCCATAGTAATAATTGCATCAAGCTTAGATGAGAGATTTTTTTCATATACTGGCCTTTAAATCATTAATGGACAATTGGCTATAAAGGTAGGTCTGTTAACTTTCTTTGTGTGTTCCTGATGGAATTCACCATAGCCTTACAGCTTTTCTCAGACGGTAACTTGTTATAAGAGAAATGGCATTTGCATGTTCCAGAGTCAGAACCTGTACAGTATATAAAGCATAAACACCTTGAATTTGATTTTAGTTCACCACATTCAAGGATCCAGGATGCCAAAAATATGTGTGAACATTTGAAACATTTTTATTTGCTGCTTTTTCCCTTTGATCTAGTTGAAAGAATGTATTGTAAATTGGCATACAATACTGCCTTTAATAGAAAACCTAAATGCTGGGGCACATTTCACGTATCGACTACCTGAGAAATTGCTTTGTGTCCCACTGCTATTAAAGCAAAAAGTATAATGTTCTTCACTTGAACTAATCAAATACAATAGATTATAAATTGTGTATTGTAAATAAAAGTTCACTCTGTGAGTGCACATTTTGGTAAATTATTTATTTATGTTAGCATTTAAAAGTTTTAAAAAAAAAATGCATTTGACCAGGATAAATGAGGTATGTTGATCATGGCTTTGCTTTATATCTTGATATTAAAGCTGGTTTAACATCCTGGTATTTTAAGAAGCTGCTTTGGTTTTTTTTTTCTTCTTCTTCTTCTTTTTTTTTTTTAATGTAAACTAGCCTCCTGCATGACAGAGGTTAAAATTTTGTCTGCACTTGAGTTCACTTGAGTTTACATTTGAAATGTGCATGTTTATTTATACAGATTTCAATAAAGTTATTCAAGGCCTTATTTAGTCTTTTATTTCTTACTCTTAATCTTTTAATAAAAATCCCCTACTTTATGGTTAGATGACTATATGCTAGACTTCTTAGTTATAAATAGTTAATACTAGAAAGGAAATTACGTCAGAGCAAAATGAATCATACTGTTAAGGGCATGTTTTAAAGTTGATTTTTTTCAACTTTAGTATTTATTCATTAAACATGTTTAGAGTCTGGAGATATAGCAGTAAACAAATATTCTTACCTTCACAGAGCTTACTTGATTTCTGCCGTCTACCAACTAATGGACTATATTTTCATTTTTCTTAAGGTTTAAAGAAAAATCAAAGCTAACTCTTTTAAACCTAGATTGTGGTCTCTATCCTAATTCTTCAGAGACCACTTTCTTTTTAATGCCTGTCATTAACTTTTATTCCCACTTAAAGAAGTGATGTTAATAATGCCATTGAAGCTGTCAAACTCAAATGTCATTTTTCAGCTGCAAAAAGTAGACTTTAAAAATAATGCAAAAGGATAATACACATTCTAATTAAAAGTAGATATTTAGGCCGGGTGCCATGGCTCACACCTGTAATCCCAGCACTTTGGGAGGCCAAGGCAGACAGATCACAAGGTCAGGCATTCAAAACCAGCCTGCCCAACATGGTGAAACCCCATCTCTACTAAAAATACAAAAATTAGCTGGGCGTGGTGGTACACACTGGCAATCCTAGCTACTCAGGAGGCTGAGAGGCAGGAGAATTGCTTGAACCTGGGAGGCGGAGGTTGCAGTGAGCCAAGATCTCGTCACTGCACTCCAGCCTGGGCAACAGAGTGAGACTCCATCTCAAATAAATAAAAAAATAAGGTAGGCATTCAGGCCAGTCATGGTGGTTCACACCTGTAATCCCAGCATTTTGGGATACTGAGGCAAGAGGATCACTTGAGTCCAGGAGCTTGAAACCAGCCTGGGCAACATAGTGAGAATCTCATTTGTACAAAAAAAAATTTTTTTAATTAGCTGGGTGTGGTGGCACGCACCTGTGTTCCCAGCTACTCAGGAGGCTGAGGTGGGAGAATTGCTTGCCCAGGCAGTCAAGGCTGCAGTGAGCCAAGATCACACCACTGCACACCAGCCTGTGCAACAGAGCAAGACCCTGTCTCAAAAAAAAAAAAAAAAAAGTCGATACTCATAGGTAATACAGGGTAGTGGGAATATATCTAGACTAGAATTTCTACTTCTAGCTTTGCCACTTAGTAATCATGTGACTTTGAACTTAATCTTTCTTAGTCTGTTTTTTTACCTGTAGAATAATGATGATAATAATAGTCAGCATTTATTGAGCACTTACTATGGACCAGGCACTATATTAAAGTGTTTATATGCATTCTCTCATTTAATCCCACAACAGCTATGAGGTAGGGTCAGTTGTCATCCCCATTTTTCATATGAAGAAGCCAAGATACAAAGCATTTAAGTAATATTACCAAGCTCACAGAATTTCTATGTAGTAGAGCCAATATTCTATCCTCAGATATGTACTACCTCTCACTGTTATAGTGTCTGCCTCATAGGATTGTTGAGAGCTCAAATGGGATTGTGTATTTTGTGGGAAGAGCTTTGTAAACTTTATTACACACTCACTGATTTCTTCAGTCTAAATAGAAAGGCATCTTGAAGTCTAATGACTTTGCTTCTAAAAGTATCTTTAGCTCAGTATTTGAGCATTGAATAAGAAAGTACCCACTGGAATATTGACTAACCCATTCCCTTTTAAAAGTTAACTTCATTTGATTTATATACCTTTATTATAATATTAATTGAATGATAAATATAATGTGACATTTTTTCTTATCCTTTTTATGTAACTTATGTCTCCTTCTTTTCATTTCCCCAAATGCAACCCTGAATTTCAGGACTTTGTAAACTAGACTTTAGTTTTGTTTTCTGTTTGTTTAGAGACCGGGTCTCACTCTGTCACCCAGGCTGGAGTGCAGTGGTGTAATCATAGTTCACTGTAACCTCAAACTACTGGGCTAAAGTGATGCTCCTGACTCAGCCTTATAATTTACTTTTAATTAATCTTGAAAAAGTTGCAGCCTGATGCTTTATTTAAATATCTTGCTTTCTCATAATGTGTGTTCTTTTAGTAGTCCTGTATTTATCCTTGCTTTCCTGACAGCTGGATATAAAACTGCACAAAACGTTGATTTGGGCACGAAGAAAATCTGTAAGTACCAAAATAGATACAACATAAAGGTGGTGGGTTTTTTTATGAACTAATTTGATTGAAGTGAGAATATCTTATAAAATAAGCCAGGAGACTGAAGTGGAGTCTCCTTCAGTGGTAGACCAAAGGGAGTGTAGGGTGTAGTAGGAGCATTCTACCTCAGAGAGGAGGAATATGTTAGCACTGATAACATTTAAGACTGATGTATGGTGACAAGAAAAAGCAGGCCAATTTTTAGTTTTATTATTTTTAAGTTATCTACAGATAATGCATTTCATTATTGCCTGCTTTCAACTCTCCCTATTTAGTATGTTTCTGATCTCCTGTGCTTGTGCAGTATAGATGAGCACCTTCTCACCACGTGCATTTTTAAGATAAAAATGTGGAAAATTCTTGAGTCATAGACTAGAGGAAGGAAGCAAAGGTCATCTAAAGTATAAGATGAGTGAGAAGGAAAGGAAAAGCTCATTGCTAGGGCCAAAGAATAAGGGTAGAAGTTTTTGTTCATATTTTTTACTTTACAACAAAATAAAATTTTTTGCTCTTTGAATAACTTAACCTCAGAAATTTGGAAAAAAAACCTATCCTGAAAATATATTGATGCTTATTCCCAAATAAATCTTTTAAGTACCACTTGACCAGAGGATAGGGAAAGGAGAAAAAGGTGAGTGTATTTATATCCTTGTTAGTTTTTGTTACATATTCAGTTGCAGATCTATATTATATATTGTTATCAGATTTTCTAGTGAGAAATATATATGATAGCTTTTTAATAGGCATTCTAGGTTTGGAGGCCATTTCAATTCAGTATGTATGTGTTTTAAGTGTTTAATTCATATTTACTAAATATTAAGAAAAAGAATTTCCAAGTAACTCAGATAACAAAACTTTTATTTAAACTTGAGTTATGTCAGAATTGTATAAACTATATAGAATAGGCTTTAAAGTACCAGAATTGGGAAAATAAAATATAAATGGTAAAAATTCAAATATTTATCAAGACTTTTTTTAACTAATGATGGGGTGAAGAATTTTTAAATGGATAATATAAAACAGACAGTTCAAAAATTATTTTTGGAAAATATATGCATCCGGAAATATACCCCACATTGTGCCATGGTTTATTCCCCAGCTCTACTTTTGGGAGTATGTATGGAACTTGTCAGGGTGGTGAAATAGACCTTAGACTATTAAGGACATTCAGAAAATGGTTAAGCCATTCAAGGAAAATCAGGAATTTACATAATATATTGGACTAGAGTCTCAAAGGACAGAGAGAAAATCAATGAAATGAGTTTTGATATTTTTTTCCTAGAAAATGCGTAGTAAATGTGATTCTACAAAGCAGCTAAAAATACAGCTGTCTTTCTGGAATTTGAAATGTGTAAAATAAGACCACACATTTTCAATATGCACAAAATATATTTTAAATGTTTAAATTGTATTGGTAATTTACTATGTTCTGCTGTAGAAAATCTTGATTAAAGTTGGTGCTCATTTTGCTAAAAATTTTTTCCCTCATGTCACGAACTTGTAGCTTGTTCTATATAGTTTGGTGAAACAAAAACAAACAGTTTTTATTTGCTGTGACATTTAAGTTTGTTGCTAGTTGGAGTTAAATCTGCATACATAAAAGTAAAACAATAAATTTGGAAACATCCCAACAGTCTTTCCCATAATGTGTATTATTACATTCTTCTCAGTAATAGCACATACTTAACATTTCCCAAGCTGTTGTTTTAACCTTAAAACATCACCACATTTCTAATTTTTATTTAAAATCTTTCAGAATTCTTAGACTTTGTAACACCTCAAACACAAGTTTCTCAAAATGTTTTTTAAATAGTATTCGTTCTTCTTTTATACTCTATAAAGGAATTTTCTGTGTTAATAGATGTAACCCTTTAATGCTCTTCTGTTCATCATTAAGTATGCTAAGTTTTAAGTAATTTAGACTT